GGGAGAGAGGAGCCGAGCAGAAGGGAACATGGGGCAGCCCATAATTGTCTGTGGCAAATTGCAGCCGCCACCTACCCAGAAAGTGCTTTTTCCCTCCACAAAAGTCCGCCTGTGGGTCTTGAGCCTTCCTGCAGGAGTCAGGTTCCCTGCCCTTGCCCCGTGGGTCTGGCCCGTCAAGGGGGGGCACTGGCAGGAATGGTGGCGCCGTGAAAAAGGAGCCCCACCCCACCCCACCCCGGGCCCCTCCCGGCCCATGGCAGGACTCACCTGTTGATGCCTCGCATCATGTAGGGCTGCATGTCCACAGAACTGTTGGAGAGAGAGAGAGAGAGAGCAGAGATCAAGCCAGGATCCCAGAGACAGAGGGGGGGGGCGCCTCAGCCTGATCCCTATTTGATCCGGGCAAGGGTCTCCCTGCAGACCGCTCCCCACACCCATCCTGCTATTTGAACACGTTTAAATAAAGGTTTTAAGTGTGTGAAGTAATAAGTTTGATTTAATCAAAAGAGAAATTGATAACAGAATATATGAATATATGCTATATAAAAGAAATATATATGTATGTAAAATTTTGATAACAGAATATATGGCTATATACAGTACTATATACGTAGACAGACAGACAGACAGACAGACAGACAGACAGACAGACAGACAGACAGACAGACAGACAGACAGACAGACAGACAGACAGACAGACAGACAGACAGACAGACAGACAGACAGACAGACAGACAGACAGACAGACAGACAGACAGACAGACAGACAGACAGACAGACAGACAGACAGACAGACAGACAGACAGACAGACAGACAGACAGACAGACAGACAGACAGACAGACAGACAGACAGACAGACAGACAGACAGACAGACAGACAGACAGACAGACAGACAGACAGACAGACAGACAGACAGACAGACAGACAGACAGACAGACAGACAGACAGACAGACAGACAGACAGACAGACAGACAGACAGACAGACAGACAGACAGACAGACAGACAGACAGACAGACAGACAGACAGACAGACAGACAGACAGACAGACAGACAGACAGACAGACAGACAGACAGACAGACAGACAGACAGACAGACAGATGTAATATTTAACATAAAAGAGAGAAAATGTGTTAATTAAAAGTTTGCTATGGCGTTGTTCATGAGGGTCAACAATAAGGATTCCCCCAGGAAACGAACTTTTCCAAGGATGTGAGGGATGCCCAAGTCTCTCCTGTCAGTCACAGCGGAACCTCATGTGGATCAGCCAATGAGAGGACAGGAGAGGCAGAGGTTTGTCAGTTAGTCAGTTGGAGAGTTGCCCTAACAGCCTAACTGACACAACTGACTCCCTCCCCAGACTCTGCCTCCGCCCCTCCTGCCCTCCCATTGGCTCATGCAAATGAGGTTCCGAGGTGATTGACAGGAGTGAGTGACCCAGGTATCCACCACATACCTCCCCCCTTGGAAAAGTTTGTTTCCTGGGGGAAACCTTCTTGTCTACCCTCATGAACAATGCAATAGCAACGGCAAACTTTAATTAACCCCATTAATTAATTACATACACATATATTCCTTTTATATAGTCTACCTGCATATATTCAATGATCACTCTTTTTTTTGGGTTAATTTAAACTTTTTTTTACTTTGCACATGTAAAACATTTAATACACTTATTAAATTATTAAGCCCGAGGGCGGGGGGAAAGGGTGGGCGCCTATGGGTGTGTGTGTGGATGGATGCTGCCTTCCTGGGAAATCTGAAGGCAGCCTTCCCTTGCAAAAGAAGCCACATGCCCAAGGATCTTTCTCGAGGGGGGGGAACCCTCCCTCGGGGCCTTTTATCTGTCCTTTCCCCCCCCCGGGGCAAGGGGAGGGGAGGGGCTCGTGCAAAAGAGCCTCACCTGTTGAGGTCGCGCATCATGTAGGAGGACTGCAGGTCGGTGGACGGCCCGCGAAGGATGACCGGCTTGGGCTGTAGCCGCTCACCCTGGTGGCTGGGTTGCCGCTGGATGTGGGGATTCCTGAGAGCGAGGCTGATGTCATTGAGGAGCCTGGGCAGGGGCCCCAGCTTGATCAGGGCTTCCTGAGAGGAGAGGCAAGCAAAGCGATGCACCGTGGGTGCCCCCCCCATGAGCCACCAGCCGGGAGCCCTGAGCCCCCCTCGCCTCTCTCCAAAGGCCGCTGCAGGGTGGCTCCAGGGCCCCACTCGGGGACCCTACCTGGACGGCTCAGCCCCTCCTCACCCTCCCCCCTTTTTTGGGGGGGGTACCGGCACCTTGCTGAGCTGCGGTGCGGCATGACCTCCCAGAGCAAGGCGTGGAGGGTGGAGAGCTCCCGGCCGAGGTCAATGTAGCCCTCGAAGCTGCTGCTGTTGGTGAGGGTATCCAGGTTGGAGATCTCGTAGAGGAACTGCTGCATGCTGGTCCACTCCATCTCCAGGAACTCGTTCATGAAGGCCATGTATTCCTCCTTGCTCCCAAACCTGTAGGTTTTTATTGATTTGAAATGTTCCTATCTCACCTTTCTCCTAAAGAAAGGACCCAAGACAGCTTGACCATACAGTAGGATCCCCCGGTATCAGCAGGGAATTGGTTCCAGGATCTACCGTGAATACCTGAAACCGTGGATACAAGAGAACCTCCCCCCCATGAGTCACATACAATGGAGAGGCACAAAGGCCGCAAGGGAGCCGTCGTAAGTGAAACTGCAGATAAAAAGGTTTCCACTGTAAGAAACAATATTAAAAACTAAAAAGAGAAAAAAATGATTACAATAATAATAAAAAAAATCAGACAAGTATAAAGTAAAAGAATTAAGCAAGGATACATTTCATCTACTAAAGCTAGTAGATAAAATTTTGTTGGCCACAGGATGGAGTTTGGGAGTCAACAGACAAGCCCACACCTCCAACCCAATGCCTTCTCTGCCAGCCCCCCCCCCCATGTAACAGGCATTTGCCAACCAGGTTAATGTCCCTCCCAATATGGCTTGCATTGTAACAGGCTAAAAACCATGACTGTCTCCCATTAGTTTTGTGAGCAATAAATAATGATGACTTTGATTTTTTCCCCCATATCAACAGAAGCTTCACATGTTTTAGCATCTTGAGAGATGCTGCTGTAGTGTGAATGATGTGGTTATCTTTTCATCACGTAAGGCAGTCGAGGTACAGTAGGACCCGTATATCCATGGGACTAGTATCCACAGTTTCATTCATTCGCAGTTTGAAAATATTAAAAATACTAAAAGAAAAAAATCCAGAAAAAAATATTTACACTTGTATTACCAGAACCAGCCACTAGAGGAAGCCAGAGACTATGCTATGAATTCTTTTTGTTGAAGAATACATTGTATTCTGGTGCCGTCTAGTGGCCACTTCTAGTAATACACATTTTTTAAAATCTGGATTTTATTTCTTTACCATGTTATGTCTAGAGTTCACTATTATTCATGGTTTTCGACATATGCAATTGTGGCTTGGAACCAATCCCCCACAAATACGGGGGAGGGGGATTCTGCTATATCTTGTTCCATACTTTATTGCAGAATCGTGGAATAATGGAGTTGGAAGGGGCCAATAAGGCCACCGAGTGCCTGGTACAGGGGTAAGCACTTCAGTTGTGTAAAATGGGCAGCCCTGGTTGTGGAATGGTGCAGGGCAGTCCTCCCACCTTCCTTAAAAATGGCTTGTTGCTTCCTGCAGGTTCAGGAAGTGACCATTCTCTTTCTTGTGAAATTCAGAGTCAAGTGGGGTGGGGCTGCAAAAACAGTGGGTGTGCTGGGGGGGTTGCCCATGGCACACCCTCATCTAGAGCATCTCAGCAACAGAGCAAGGCACTTTATGAAGGATGAGCTGCTGCCCTCCAACATAACATAATGCAAATCAATTCAAAATTTCCCGACTACATGATGTTATTGTAAGCGCTGAGAACACTCAGACTTTTCTCTGAGGAATCTTTTTTTTTTTAACACCTGCCGGGAGATTGTTTATTTTAAATTGCTCAACCTCACAATGTTGTCTGACCCATTTTTGCTTGTGTGAATGGCTGTGTCATTGTATTCTGTGTGCGGGGGTGTTCCCTGTGTCGACGCTTTGATGCTGTGTTGTGTTTGGGGTGGTGTAAGATTTCCCTATCAGGAAGTCATGCTTACTACCCAAACTCTTTTTATGTAAATAAACCGTCTGACTTTAGCCCAGCATCACGTAGCCTCCAGAGGTTTTCTGTCTGCAACACTGATGAAGCGCTATGCCACTTAGAATAAAAGAGGAAAACGTTAACTGGAACAAAATGATTATGGACAAGGACAGCATGCAGGTGGAGTCAGGATAGACTGATGGCAGAGCTAACTGCCAATCTTGGGTCTATTTAAAGAGCAGTGTTGGGACGTGGTAGCGCTGCGGGTTAAACCGCAGAAGCCTCTGTGCTGCAGGGTTAGAAGACCAGCCATCATAAGATCGAATCCACATGATGGAGTGAGCTCCCGTCGCTTATCCCAGCTCCTGCCAACCTAGCCGTTCAAAAGCATGTAAAATGTGTTTAGACAAATAGGTACCACCTCAGTGGGAAGGTAACAGCATTCCGTGTCTAGTCGCGCTGGCCACGTGACTACGGAAACTGTCTTTGGGCAAACGCTGGCTCTACAGCTTGGAGACGGGGATGAGCACCACGCCCTAGAGTTGGATATGACTGGACTAAATGTCAAGGGGAACCTTTACCTTTAAAGAGCAGTGTAGTTCCCTACAAGCCAGTGAAACTGAGGCTGCCCCATGAGAATCGGGGCAGGGGCATAAAAACCACACAACCGGAACCGATAAAATAATACCCCAACACAACTCTTGGTTTATATGGGCAGTGTAGCCACACCCTGAGTTCCCTCTTGACCACGTAGGGCACAGCACGGGAGAGAGTAAAGAGAAAACCCATCTCTGGACCTGTCAGATTTGCTGGAGGAATTCGGATTTTTTTTTCAAATTCTCACCCCAAACTGTTGTGCACTTTCTGGGGTAACAGGAGGACCAAAGTGCGGGCTGTATACTGGGTGAAACGCCTGCCCGAGCAGCCAAAAGCCATTCTCAGCTCTTGAAAACAAAGGGCCAAAATGTATGTGAACTGAACGGCTGGTGCCGTGGAGGCACCAAAGCCCATGGCTGGACCTACACCGGAGAGGAGAGGCGGCTGTGGTTCTCTGTAAGGGCTGGGACTCCCATCGGGGGATGGATTCCGTTCACAGGCATCTCAAGACACATTTCAAGAAGGATGCCAGCAAACTGGAAGAAGTTCAAAGGAGGGAAACAAGGATGATTGACCTGGGATTTCTTTCACTTTGGCACAGAGGTCATCCTCCGCGCACTAGGGTCCAAAGGCAGAAAGAACCCTTTGGTTAGGAAACAGGCGCAGAGCAGAGCAGAGCAGAGCAGAGCTCCTGATACAATCTGCGGAAGTGTTAGTGGTGTGTGTGAAAGAAGGGGACATGAGGGAAACTCCAAACTTTTTCCTGCTTTAGGCAAAACGACAGTGGAAGCCATGACCTCGAGGGGTGGTGGTGAGCGCTCTCACCCGGGAGGCCTTCGAGAGAAACTTAAGACGACCACCTGGCAGATACCCTTTGATTTTGATTCCTGCATCGAGCAGGGGGTTGGACTTGATGACCTTACAGGCCCCTTCCAACCTCACTGTTCTATGAATCTATGGTTCTTTGGGTGCTCTCTGGGGTAGAGCCTCCCGGAGAAGCAAACACATCAGGCGGCGCCCACCTCCGCTGCAGGTGTACAGGAAAGTCCCCCCCCCCGGGGGGGCGAGCAGAAGAGGGCAAGAGGGAAGCCAAGGGTCTGCCTCAGCACCCTGTCTTTACCCACTGAGCTCACTCCAGGGTCTGCACCATCATCATCTTAGAACAGCAGAAATGGCAAGGACCCTCGAGATCATCCAGTCCATGAGGCAGTCTGTACCATCATCATCTTAGAATTGCAGAAATGGCAAGGACCCTAGAGATCATCCGGTCCAACTGCTGTCCGTGAGGCACCATGGGGGGAATCGAATACCCAACCTCTGGCCCTTTCTGTGGCACGCCCGGTGAGACTCACTTGGTGAAGTTGGCCAGGTTCTGGATGACCTTGGCGATGAGGGTGAGGGTGCGGGACGTCTGCTCGTCGGGGGCCTCTTGCATGAGCCCGAAGAGGCTGGGCGACATGACCGCCGGGCACAAGAAGCGCAGGAAGAGGGAGGCACTGATCAGCCGGTCGGCGATGTCTTCTCGTCCCCTCTCGCCACAGCGCAGCCTCCAGGAGGCGAAAACTTCCTTCAGCTCCCGAGGGAACACGCTGGGGGAGAGGGAAGGGAAGGGAGTGAGTCGGCAGCTATGGGAGACCCCCCTCCCCCAAAGAACACCAGACCTCCTGTAAGCCTCCCCACACATCCCTGCCCCCCCCCAGTGTTCCTGCAATCCCAGGGGTGTGTGTCTTTTTGATCCTTTTTCTGAGCCCCACTGGGTATGGGTGGGGGAAGGATTTGCAGTCTATAGGGACTGTCCTTTGCCACAAATGTTTCCTATCTTCCTGTTTACCTGGGAGTCCTCCTTCTCCCCCCCTCCGAACCATCCTCCAAAAAAGGGAGACTCCGTTTTATCTTTCTTTCTTTCTTTGTCCTCTGATTTTAAGTACAAGCGCATAACCGGGATTCAAGCTCTTTCTTTCTCCCTAAAAGTGCCACTGGAGTGGATTCTTATTCAAGGAAGAGCTAGGCTTGTGTGCTCAGGGAGGGCTGCGAAGATGGGGGGGGGCAAATCTGCCTTCTGCGCTTTTGTGCCGTTGGGGTTTCCCCAGGAACATCCCTATTCCTAGTGTGAAACCTTTTACACACGCACACAGCCCCCCTCCAAAAATGACCATCCACCCGAAGGGACGTCTGGTACTGACCAGTGGGAGTTCACGACCTTGCAGAGGGCCAGTTCACAGCACATGCGAAGGTTGGCCTGGTGGTCAGCCAAGGTGGACGCCGAGCACTTCATGGGGTCCACCTCGCAGTTCTCCTCCGACTCATACAAAGCCCGGATAAACTCACCTGCAGACAGAACCAGGGGGAGGGGAGCAACACAAGGGAAGGGGTGGGTCGTGGGAGGAGGTGCAGATGGGTCTGAGGGGGCCTGGGCCCCACCTTGGCTTCCCCCCAGCCACCTAGAGCATGCGTGCCTTCTGATTAAGCATCCTTCAGTCTCGAGAGACTATGGTAACGTGCTCTGTATGGAGGACTTGGAACAGTGTCTAGTGTGGCTGAGAAGGCCAATTTGAGAGTGACCATCCCTTTCGCACTGAAGACAAATACAATCTGTCCCCTGTCCAGCTCCCTGGTTTTGCTGGTTTCGGGATTGCCTCTTTGCCTCATCCTGCTGGACAGAGACCATGCCTCCAGGCTGAACTGTCAGAGGTCAAGGTTTCCCATCTGTTGAGATCCATTCCTAAGGCCTTCAGATCCCACCTGCAGATATCCTTGTATCACAGTTGTGGTCTCCCTCTGGGGTGATTTCCCTGCACTAATTCTCCATACAGGAGATCTTTTGGAATCCGACCATCAGCCATTCTCACTACATGCCCAAGCCAACATAGACATTGCTGATTCAGTAATGTATGCATGGCTAAAAATTCCTAAATGACATTCAGTAATGTATGCATGCTAAAAATTCCGAATTTCACTTGAAATTTGGGTTCAAGTGAGCTCTGAAAGGGGGTGATGTCAGATCAAGTTCTCTGGCCTGATATCTCCCCACTGTTTTCTCCACCTGATCTGAACCCTAAATGCCTGGGAGGGGCCCCTTAAGGAGAAAACCTTCTGGCTTCGCCACCTGCGAGAGGCTGTCCCCATCATGCTCCTGAAACCCTCCCCCAAGCTTCCTTCTCTGGTGCAATGTGCAACCTGAGCGGTCGCCAGCATGCTCCTCTCTTCCATTCCTCACCCCAAGGCCACTGGGGAGGGGGGAGTTGATGGGCAAACGGGTGGGAGAAGGCGCCTGCCTATCTTTTTTCTTACCCCCCCCCAACCCGGCTCCTCACCTATAGCGTCTTTGAGGTATTTTTGTCCAATCAGCTTGAGATACTCCTCTATGGCTTTAGTGGCCAGCGTGTTTTCCCGAAAGATCAGGTGCTCCCGGTCCATGAAACGGTCGACTTCGGTCATGGCCATGTCCGAGAGGAAGTCCTGCCGGGAGAGGCGGAGAAACCTGAACCCGCTCCCCTCGCTCAGCCCTGTCCTGGCCTCCCTTCCAGCTCTCTCCTCTCCCCTCCCGGCCCACCCCAAACCCCAAAAAAGGTACCTTGGCTTTGCCTGTACTCTGCAGGATGTGCACCAGAGCGCAGGCCACCTCTTCCTTGCTCTTCACGCTCAGGACCGGCTCCAGCACCGCGCAGAGCATGCGGTAGTTGTTGGTGACATACTCAGCAAACTCCTTGTACAGCTCCATGGGAAGGATGCTCATGGTCTGGAAGCGGCTCTTGACCCGGATGGCCGGGCAGCCGGACTTGCTCTTGCTGGCGCTGGGCTGGCTGAGCGGGTACCACTGCTCGGCGAAGTGGCGCCCGGTCACGCTGGCGATGGGGATGCTGACCATTCCCATGTAGTTGCTCTTGTCTTTCTTCCGCTTCTTGTCCGTGTCCTTGTAGAGGTGCAGGCGGATCGTGCGCACGGCCGGCAGGTTGTTGAACTCAAAGTGCTCCCCCCAGAAGACGTTGTCCGTCCGCATCTTGCTGGTGGTGCGGGCGTAGAGCATGTCATCCAGGCACAGCTCGCAGTAGTAGCGCTTCTTTGGGGGCAGGTCCCGCGCCTCGATGATCCACAGCTTCAGCACGTTGTCCACACGCCGGCTGTTATCCTAAGCGGAAGGAGGGCAGCCATTCAGGAAGATGGGTATGGGGGAGGGAGTGGGAGTGGGGGGGAGGATTGGCACCACAGTCAACCTTCATGGCACAGACCAGACACGGCAAGCATCAGTGCAGGCTGACCAGTTAGATACGGGCATGGGGGAACGAGAAGGTGGCTGGCACAGGATCACAGCTGGAATTTCAGAAGAGTGGATCGGCACAGTTAAAGGCAGAGTGCTACCCAACCATATTTCTGTAGATGCCTCATCTAGCTATATACAGTGGTGCCTCGCATAGCGAGGTTAATCCGTTCCGGATTAACCTTCGCTATGCGAAAACATTGCTAAACGGAAATTAAAAAGCCATAGAAACGCATTGAACTTTGTTCAATGCGTTCCTATGGCTTTAAAACTCACCGTTAAGCGATGTTCCTCCATAGCGCCGCCATTTTCGCGCCCTCGGTAAGCGAGGGCAGGGCGCGAAAATGCGGCGCGGACCTTCCGGCGGCCATTTTGGAACCGCCGATCAGCTGTTCTCCCCCGCTTTGTTCTGCGAAAATCGCTAAGCGAATTGCTTAGCAATCATCACAAATCGAAAACACGCTATAGGGGCCATCGCTGAGCGAACGCTCCAGCGATGGCCCGGACCCCCTCGCTATGCGAATTCATCGCATAGCGAAGCGCTCGCTAAGCGAGGCACCACTGTACTGACATGCGGGCCTGAGTTAAATCCCAATTCACTTTAAAACATCCCACGCCAGGTGAGGGCTGCCTCTGATGGTGTGACCACATGGGCTAAAAAAAAATATGTAGGAAATGCTACAGGCTTCAGATGGGCTGATTTGCATTCCCCCCCATGATGCAAAAGGAAATATGAATCCGCCTAGAGTTCCTCCCCATTAAAAAAATAAACATTTTTTTTTAAAAAAATCATTAATTCTTCACCTCTGCCACTGGGGCTTCTACTGTTTTTAAAAAAACAATACAGATTCATTCACATGATTTCAGGCAGTGGGATCGCGTAAATCCACATTGAAAAGCCGCTGCACCAGCACAGACTTTGCATGTAAAATGCTAGGAATGGTAAACAAAGTTAACCACCAATCAAATAAGCTATTAATTTCAGAAAAGTAAAACACAGGCAAAAAAAAGTTTCTGAGAAAGCATGCATGTTGGTTATATCTGTGAAAAAATATATATTAAGAGACCTTTTCTCCACCAGCAAGATCTCTCTCTTGTCTATACACATACACCCTCCCTGTGTAGCCAGGTAATGCATACAGATCTGGGAAACACACATTTCCTGGTGCAACTGCACAGTGCATGAATTCAAGTTTCTTTCCCAACGTAATTGCACCCTGAGAAATGTTCAAGAACTTCCTCAGACACACTCTTTACCAGGGCGAGGTGACCACACAACTCCCTGGTTGTGGTTACTTCACTTGTTATCAGTATGTTTCTAGACTAAAAATCATTTGCTAACTATGACTCGTTAATCGTTTTGCCATGAGGGTTCAGCCTCTCCAAAGGGCTGTTTTTCTCCAGCATGTACTTCCCCAGGCTCTAAGATTAGATGCAATATTTATACTACTGAAAAAATACAAAATATGAGACATTTGGGTGACCAATGCCAGCTTCAGCTACAAGTGTCCTTATGAGAGAACTTTGTTCATACTGAAATGCCTCATATCTAATTTTTAAAAGATTTAAAAAATTTTATGTAAAATATTTTAAACCTTATGCACAAATTGGTGCTCTTCCTTTCTTGTTTGGGACAAATCAGGGACTCCTGTCCCTCAAATGTTTAAAGGACGAGCAGACAACAAAGAAGGGCTGCTTAGAATATTTAAATATTTTAAAACGTGTAATCTCCCTTATGGAGATCAGGTACCCAACATAAAGATGTTGGTCTCATCATTTCTAAAGCAGACATTTTCTTGATCAAGAACCCCTGATGCTTTTATCCATTTTAACGAAATGTTTTAAAATTTTATTGTATTATTTCTTGATTTTATTGTGCTTGGTGGGTTGTAACACATTAGTACTGTAAGCTCGTCTTGAGATTTTGGTGACGGAAAGCAGAGTACATACATATGTACTTTATTTTTACAGCATCAAGCCACACATAAAACAAAATTAAATGCAGAGCTTCAAGTACTGACATATACTGCAAAAAAGACAAATCAAATAAACAAAAAGCAATAAAACTACAAATATGACAATGTAAGACCAATGTCTAAGTTTGGCTATCTATTCTGGCTACTATGGCATGCCGCCCAAAATTCCACTACCAGTTCTGTAGTAGTCCGATTTTGATCAATTAACAATTGGTTACAGTATTCCGAGTCTGATTGGCCTGTCATGTCTTTTAAGAGAGATGTAATATATTTTCCTCGAATCTTGTTATGCCGATTACATCTGAGCATCATATGCTCCATGGATTCTATCTCACCAGATCCACAAGGGCAGAGTCTCTGTTCTCTCGGGATCTTCTTAAACCAGCAGAGTATAAATATGAAAAAAATAAACAACCACTGTAGTGTGATAGACAGAGTGATGGACTAGGACTCCAGAGAACTGGGTTCAAATCCCGCCAAGTGAGGAAAGGAAAGGGTGGTAGTCATAAACCATTCCTTAAATATCTCACATACCTTGAAAATGATGTTAGTGGCACTATGAGTCAAGTTTTGGGGTGGTTGTTTTTTTTAACTACAAACCCCCATTAAGAATGTCGTCCCCGCAAACTCCATTCTTGGAGTTCCACCCGACAGACCCACACTCCCCAGCACTCGAGGGCGGCTCACCTGGAGGAAAGCCCTAGCATCGCCCTCCTCGCTGGGAGGGTCTTTTCCGAACAGGAAGCTAGGCCCTGCTTCCCCCTCAGGGCTTGGTTTCCAGGCCCTTTCCTCATCTGGATGGCCCTTCTCTGGCAGCTCCCCGATATGCCTTCTTTTAAAAACAGCGAACAAGGCTGGATGGAGGACTCCAGAGGAAAGCCTGACTAAAACAGTATACAGGGGCCTCTTGACGTCCCTTGATTCGCACTCTCCACTTCTGTGGACGCTGCCTAGAATTGCGGTTGCAACCTTGACTCCGTTTTCACCAGAAGTCTGCTGAAGAACCCCGGATCCTGTCCACAAGCAGTCCGGCCCAGCTAGAGACCGTTGTACGATTCCTGGGCATTAGATTTTTTATTTATTTTGCCTAAACACAGAACTCTCTTCTTTCACCTTTTATTTATTTATTTGAAATATCTTTTAGCCCATCTTTCTCCTTTTTTAAAAAAAAAAAATGGACCCAAGGCAGGTTACATCAGCGTAAAAAAAAGGACCCAAGGCAGGTTACATCAGCGGAAGGCAATGTTTAAAAGCTAAAAACAGCAGGTATACAAATATCACAACAGAATCAAACAAATACCACAGTAAAAGAGTAAACAAAACCAACAGCAAAACATATACAAAGCAACAAGACACAATAATAATAATAAAAAAAACACCCTCTCGAACAGCCAGCCGGAAAAGGAAAGTCTTCCTGAAGAGAAAGGGCTTTGCCTGCTTATGAAAGGACAGCAAAGATGGGTCCCGGCTAGCCTCCCGTGGGAGGGAGGATCGGGAGAAAGGAGCCTGCCGGCTTTAGTTTCTCCATCACATTTTAACAATTCATTTATTGTGCTTCTCGTGACTTGGGCCCAAACCAACTGGATAGCCGGTTTCCATTGCTGTTCTGAGTATTCTCTTCTCAAGCGGTGCCCAAGTTTGAGTCTCCAGACGTTCTTGGACTACGACTCCCAAAAGCCTTTGCCACAAGCTGTGCTGGCCAGGATTACTGGGAGTTGTGGTCCGAGAACATCCGGGGATACACAGTTGGGAACCCTGAAAAGGTTTGCCATAAGTCGCAACTGACTTGATAGCTAACAGCAACAACAGCAATAATAATTCGAAATACCAAACACAGCCCATCAAAATTACAAAATATTGACTGGCATTATAGTTTTAACCTAAAATCTAAGTATCTGTTAATTATCGGTGCAATATGTGTGCCGCTCCCAATATTGTCAGGTTTTTTTTTAGCTCTGACGGTAGAGGATGATAATTAAGTGAATGGAAATGAACCAGAAGCCTGGAAAATCCGTGCAACGTCGACATGGGGGAGCAGAAATCCTACGATTCAGATGACAGCCAAGAGAGCAGGAACCCCCTTCGCCTGGTAACAAAATGCGCGTCGACTTAGGAAAAATGTCTCTAAGCCAGAGGTTGCCAACCCCTGGTCTGTGGCCCAGTGCCGGTTCGTGTCCTGAGCCGGACTGGGCTGCGGAGACAGATCCCCCCCTGCCCCACCACCCTGCACGCACTCACACCACACACAGCTGATTCATGCATGCACGCCCGTTCCAGTGCGCCTGTGTGAGCGTTGCGCCACTGTTTGTGCATGAGCGCGCATGTCCACACAACATGTCCACACAACCAGGCTGCTGGTGTTTGCACATGCGCGCATGGTCATGCGCGCATGCGCACAAGTGCAGGGGGGGTGCCCCGCCTTACCCAGCCGGTCCACGGGGTGAAAAAAAGTTGGGGACCTCTTCTCTCAGCAGTGTGACTTCACAGCCAAGAAAGCTGGCACCCTTGGACCCAAATGGCGGAGCTGTTGTTGGGGGGGGGAGCGGAGGAGGGAGGTCCCCGGCAGACCACAGGGCATGGCCATTGAGGCCCTCAGTGGGGGGGTGCCCCGCCTTACCCAGCCGGTCCACGGGGTGAAAAAAAGTTGGGGACCTCTTCTCTCAGCAGTGTGACTTCACAGCCAAGAAAGCTGGCACCCTTGGACCCAAATGGCGGAGCTGTTGTTGGGGGGGGGAGCGGAGGAGGGAGGTCCCCGGCAGACCACAGGGCATGGCCATTGAGGCCCTCAGTGGTTTAGGTCTCTGGCTGGAGACCCAGAGGTTGGGAGTTTGATTCCCGCTCTGTGCCTCCTTGAATGGGGCGGGACTCATTCCTCCCTAGGGTCCCTCCTAGCTCTGCAGTTCTAGAGTGGTCGCAATGACCAGATAGGAGGGGTATAAACAAACAAACAAACAAACAAATAAATAAGAATTTAAGTGCCACTTAATGAGAAGGGAGTGGACTATACCATGCAATGTCTACTCCTGAGAACAAATGGTAAGTGTTCAAGGAGCTTTCCATACTGTACTGAACACACTGCACTTTTCATATGATTCAGATATCTGGCTGGAGACCCAGAGGTTGGGAGTTAGATTCCCGCTCTGTGCCTCCTTGAATGGGGCGGGACTCATTCCTCCCTAGGGTCCCTCCCAGCTCTGCAGTTCTAGAGTGGTCGCAGTGACCAGATAGGAGGGGTATAAACAAACAAACAAACAAACAAATAAATAAGAATTTAAGTGCCACTTAATGAGAAGGGAGTGGACTATACCACTTGTGGCTGGTCTCTCCTCCGTGAAACGTTGTCCTTCTACTACGTAGCACAATGTTACCAGAAATTCAAAACTTTTTGCAACTGCCTGCAGGGAATGTTGGCATGGCACCACCCATCCCAGCTGAAAATGCAGCGGGGGAGGCAGAGAAAAGTCACCGGGGGGGTGGGGGTGGGAAGTTTCTACCTTGTTGGGCTTGACGGCACGCTGCAGGTTCTCGATCCATTTGTCCCGCTCAGCCGCCGAGCGGCAGGCGAAGCACTTGGTGCCGGAAGAGGTGGTCACCTAAGAGGAAAGGGAGAGATGTGGAGAGGGTGAACCACCGGCGGCCACACCTGCCTGCCCGCCCGCCCCTTGCCGGAGAGCCCCC